TTCTTCCTCAAAATACATACAAATAACTACACACTTTCGAAATATTTTTTCTAAAAGTTTGGACAGGGACTATAAGGCTATAATATCGCCCTCCTCCATACCTTATAATCGCCTTTGATGTACTGCTTTGCTTCCTTCAGCACCTTCTGCAAGCAGCTTACCCATACCCTGTCGTCATTACTCAGCTTTAGTACCATTTCAATCAGTTCGTCGAAAGCCTTCCCGCCGTCTGCCGCTATGTAATCGAGCCCCTGAAGTGATTTTCGTACCGTTGCAGCACAAGAGGACAAGACACGCAGCATGATTGATCTGCTGAACGTCGTGAAGTTGACTTCCTTACAGTACTGAGTATACTGTGCCACAATTCGTTCCGTTATCGTTATGAGATTTGGCGTTTCGAGAATACTTCCATCTGCCAGGCTTATCACTACGTGTGGACTGGTGATAAATTCTAGGAAGTGGTCAAGTTGAGTAAAGTTTACCCGCATACGATGGCTCTTAGACAGGAGTACAGCTGAGCCACACCCGTATTTTTTTTCCGTGTTCTTGTGCGGTCCTCACTCGACATTCCGTTATACCGGGAAGGCATCACTGGATAAGACTGTATGGCACAAGGTCGGCCATGATGGAGAGAACAGAATCGCTTTCGGCAACGCCATCGTATGCCAAACGCATCCCGATGTTTTGGACAACTAAAGATGTTAAAGTGGCTTTCGCCGATGTCGAATATACCTAGAAAAAAAAAAGAAGTAACGGTCAGACCTAGACAAAGTTATTTCGATTATCTTTAGCTAGCATTAAAATACACTTCTTTTATATAAGAATATATTTTACAGGAATATCGAAGCTGAAATGTGCGAAATTTTAAGAACGTTTTAAGAATAAACCCGGGGCTGACATTTGGAAAAGAATTTAATTTTGCGATTGAAAATTTATATGACTCTTCCTTTCTCTAAAAGGCAAAACTAGCGCCAAAAAGCAACAAGAACAGCACTAGCCGTTAACTGAAAAATTAAAATTACGATAGCAATGCACTTTTTAGTAATTTTCAAAGTGGGTGTTTGTAGAGCGCTTTGCAAGATGTTGAGTGGAAACAACAAGTTGCTGACATGGGTACGACCAAACTCTTGTGGATATCAACGCTCTACATCGCCAGAAATCGGTGACATTTGAAACTGCGAATGTAAAATCCAGCGGTATCTGTAACCTTGCAGCGAAGAAATCGAGCGCAAAATGTACAAAGAAAATGTATGAAGAATGAGATATTTAATGGAATATTCCTTGAAGAATTAGCAAATGTAAAAATGTGCATGCCAGACACGATAGACTGGTCTATCACAAAACACAAATGAAAGAGGAGACTTACAATTTTATGTTTCCTTTCGAAGGTTTTCTGCGAGATGTTTTAACTCGAAAAATTACAAGGCGTAGAGGGAGAATTATCGGCAGAATCAAAACTCATAGTTTGTAACCAACGATAATCGTCAAACCGAATGCGATCGTAAAAATGTGTATACAGGAATGAAAAATATGTATGTTAAAATAACTCACCTTGGGTCTCACAGCTCCATACGACTAATTTCGACGTTTCCTTTTTACTTTTGAACACCACGAAGAAAATGCCTTCGGTGAACATCGCATGGCAATCCACGGTAAAATTCCAAAATTCGCTATCTTTGAACTACGATATTTCGGCCGTCTATGCTCCAATTTTGCTCCAAAAGACATCANTAGGTAAATGTCGAGTTAAAAAATGCTGCGAAAAAGATCTGTTGTGCATGGTTGCAGTAATATTGCTGATCTCAATACTGGAGTCACTTTGCACAGTAGTCCCGCGCTAAAAGAACGTGCACGATAAGCGGGTGAGATTTATCAAAACTTTAATATTGTCGGTGATTTTGCGATCTGCTCTAAACACTTTGAAATGTCTTTGAGCGTCCAATATACATGCCTGGCTTTAGACGTAAAATCCAGCCAGGGTCGGTTCCGACAATATGGAAAGATATTGGAGAAGAGAAATCAATTTCAGGAAATCCGGAGGGAAATCCAAGCGAACCAAATCGAAATCAAGTGAAGAGGATCGTAAACAACGAGTAAGCCATTTAAAGACAGAACGGAAAAATGAATATTGAATACTTTTTATGATCGAAATATTTAAGAGTAACTTAGAACAGAAAATGTATTGGGAAAACAAATACTCAAAAGAGAGAAAAGAAGATTTGCAGTCGTACGATTTATACTTTACGAGTATATCGAAGGTTTTCTGCGAGATGTTTTCACTCGAAAAATTACAAGGCGTAAAGGGAGAATTATCGACAGAAAAAAAACTCACAGTTTATAATTAGCGATAATCGTCAAACCGAATACGATCGTAAAAATGTGTATACAGGAATGAAAAATATGTATGTTAAAATAACTCAGCTTGGGTCTCACAGCTCCATACGACTAATTTCGATGTTTCCTTTTTGCTTTTGAAAACCACGAAGAAAACGCCTTCGGTGAACATCGCATAGCAATCCACGGTAAAATCCCAAAATTCGCTACCTTTGAACTACGATATTTCGGCCATCTATGCTCCAATTTTGCTCCAAAAGACATCACTTGAAAGATATTTTTCTCTACTTTTACGTTAATACGATATTTGAGATCAGTGGTTTCACCACTAAATCCAAATATACTTTGTGTATGCTTCACTTTTGCCTCTCATCGGCCGTATATGAGCCCATAGTCATTGTTTTTTTCCCAGCGGTTTTTACCACTTTGTTCAGCGGAAATTTTGATTTTTTCGAGGGAAATTGTTCCTTGTCCTTGTGTATTGCCATGTCTAAAAATTATACGTGACGAGAAGAGTTGAGAGCGAATTTTCAACTAAACATTTTGGAAAATACGTCGTCCACGCACTATATTTTTAAACACAGAGCCGGAACGTACCTAGGTTCAAAAATACCGCACAAGGCATTGTTGAAATGGAGAGAGCTAAAGCAAGTGATTTCTTACCTGGAGCTTTTGCAAGTGACTGCATCAAATTTATTTTCGACCGCCGATTGCTTTCTTTTCGCGACGGCCATTTTGTTTATTTTTTAACAAATTGCCGCTGTTAAATCCGCAGGCTCAAATGTCTCGAATTTCTGGCGATGGTTCACAGCTTTGCAGTTTAAACACTTAAGTTTTTCATGTTGAGTTGTCTATGTTCAACCGGCATCGAGTTAAGTTTAGATTAAACTTGTCTTCTCTATAGTTGTCTTGATTATTTTAGTACACTGTTCTGAACTCTAAGTGGGATGTGAAATGCACATAAACATGGAAAGAAATTACCAGATACTTGATTTTGATAAGCTTAAATGATTTTTATCCTGTCTTTTGTTTACACTTTTGCTTCCTGATTGAAAAGATAAACAAAGGGAAATAAAACCTCTGTGAGCTTGTCCCCAGTTAGTAGTTAATACTAAAAACATTGACACTTCAATGAAACTGTTATTATTATTGTTGGAACACATATTTATGGGTCAAACGATTTTTCGGATCAACAGTGAAAATGCTTGTAAAAGAGTCTACTTATTTTGATGTATTTTACATGCAATATATATAGAGACAAGCGGTTCCACACTGGAAACGAAGTGCTGTCATAAGAAACCTTACCTATAGCCTTGAATGAAATGCAATGAAAAACGTTT